CTTCTTCCTTTCTTCTTCCCTTCAGCCATTTTCTGAGTAAAATTCCCATGGCCATTAATAAAGCTTCTTTCCATAGTGTCTAGGCTACTTAGTGCTCCACACTTAAGGTAACTTCCATAGCTTAATCCTTTCATTTCTAGAGTATTTTGTTCCATCTTTCTTTACTGTAATTGTGAGATTACAGTAGCCTCTTTGTCCATATATGCTTTAGCATTCATGATTTCTAAGTCCCTTGTGGAGCTAGGCATGTATACCATCATTTGTGCATATCTAGTTTACTACTTTGCTCCTAGACACCATTTTCTTTATCATTTTTATTACCCGATTTCTCTGAGATTTTTTTGAGCATATCAATAAGCATTTGATATCCATTTGAGTACGATAACATTGGCCCTTGATACTGGAGTATTTCTTTTTTTTTTGAAACTGTTAACTGTCACTAGAGGATTTCTATTGTGAAACTACTCTTGTTTTCTCTAGTTTATGGCCATATACACCCACACAGTTCAAGCTGTCTATGTCTAAATTTTACTCACTGTTTTCATCACTAAAAGTTCATCTCTCTCTCTGTCTTATTTTAAAGCTAATCAAGCGCTTTTCAGGTATGCATAAGCTTCCCACTTCATAAGTGACATTCGCCCTTGGGTTTTATAACCATCCTTCCCTTCACCCATGGGACAAAATGAAGTCTCTAAAAGATTTGCTTCTATGACCTAGGCACGGACCCTTGGCTTCCCACATTACTTTGCACTTATTTGTTGTAACTTTGAGTCTATTAATCTTTCATGTCATCAAGAGTTGATTATGTAAAGTTTAGAGTTGGTTTATGTTGATGAGAAAATTGTATGTGCAGTTCATAGATAAGTCTATGTGCTAAGTAGTGTCGTTTGCTTCCATATGAGCAATGTGCTTGTTTTCATGACTTGGGTACTCCAGAGAGTTGTTATTCTCTCATTTTAAGTGATATTCGTGTCTTTGTAAAATCAAAATTCTGGCTGTAACAATGACTAAGAGTTGTGAAAGTTGTATGTGAAAGTGTTACTTGAACTTACCCCCAAAAAAAAAGTGTTACTTGTAAAATTTTTAAGTTGAGTGACAAGTACAAGTGCTGTATAAAGAGTAAATCCTCAATACTGTGGTTTTATGTAGCAAGATCAATCACTACTTGTGTAAATTATGTCTACGTTATCCCAAGAAGTGTTACTTGGTATTAGGGATGATATAGATCAATGGAACTATGGAATCATCTACGTCAGACTTATTCTTAAGCTTCAGAGGCAAGGTGTATGCAGCTTGAAATGAACCACTATCATGGAGTACTTGAACATGATGAAGACCATTACTGATCAACTTGCGGTTGTTGGACAGCCTGTATCTGATAAAAAGATAAGGTACAGAAAACACTTGCTCCCCAAGCTTCTGTGTACCTTGTGTTTTGTTTCATCATTGTCATGTCAATCACAATTGTTGCCTTTTGAAGGACTTCGTCCTCTCGTTGGAATATGAGGCGATATTCGTTGCACCAAATGCATAGATAAAGAAGGGAGGATCTCAAGAATCTCTTGATGATTTGAATGTACACTTTCCCCGTTCTCGTGGTCATGGGAGAGGAGGAAATTTCAAAGGAGGAAGAGATGCTGTCGGAAACTCTGGAGGATGATGCGGTATATTGCTTTCTCCCATTGCATCATTCAAGTTTGCATTATCACATGTCAAGTATGAGGAAAAGGAGGTATGAGGAAAAGGAGGACATGGTGCTGCCAACTGTTGGCTCAGATTTGGTTTCAACTTTGATGTTTTAATTTCTTTTAACGTAGTGTGAATATTGGACCACATCAATAGCTGCTAAAGTGAATCAAGTTTCCAACCTGCATGAAGCTGTCTCTGCACCTCTTTCAACCTTGAAGATCAATAAGGAGTGCATGGATTGGGGATCCACGTGTAGTGAATTGTGTTTCTGGTGATGTTGGTACGTTTTCGAATTTAATTCCATATGTTGGGAAAGGAATAGTTGTACTAGGACATGGGAGGACTCACCTCTTGTTGCGTATAGGAAGTGCTTCGATGTGTTCTTCTGCTAATTCTTGTGTTCTTTCCCTCACTTTTCTTTTCCGCACAAAGAAGACTCTCGTTTTTGTGTCACCATTAGATGATGATTCAAATTCCTACGCCGTGTTTACATCCTCTTTTGTGTATGTGTAGGATCTTCTCATGATGAAGATAAACACTAAAGGGGATTGACTTAGGAATTTATACATTCTGAAAGAAGCCCCATAGTCTATGTTCATGTCAAAGTCGAAGACGTCATCTTGAGTTGGATTTATGATACTGTCATTTAGCTCATAGTAATTTTTCTTTCCTTGAGAGTCTTGCTGCGAAAGTCGTATTGCCCTCATTTTCTTTTTTGAAAAAATCATTGCAAAAGTTGATATGTCCTAGTTGTGGTGTTTATTAAGAGTCATGAACTGTCCTTTGAATAATAAAAATGCCTATTTTCGATGCAAACTAGTCTATTCAAATATATGGGGCCATTTTGAAAGAGCTCAACTTTACATGGGCATTATTATGTTTTCTTTTATTGATTCTTATAGTAGGTATACCTAAATATTTTTCATGAAAAAAAAAATGAGGTGTTCTCTATATTTTGATGTTTACATTCATTCATAGCTAATTAATTTTTGTCACAATTCATAAACTTCCAAAGTGATGTTGGTGGTGAATTCACTATTGTGTGCGGAAGCTCTAAAATCTGATAGGTTGATTTATGGCAAAGTAAAGAGCGAGAAAAATACAACTGACCACAAGCAAGCAACAAACACGAAAAACAGAGGAAGACACAAATAATACAAAAGAGAACACCAAGATTTTACGTGGTTCGTCACTAATGTGAATACATCCACATGCAAAGACGGCGATTGTTTCTTAATAAGCAAACGAAATCATGGCTACTAATATCCAAATAATGTGAGCTTTAGAACTGGAGAGAAGGTCTTATTATAGTCAACGCCTTCTCTCTGCTCATGGCTTTTTACAATCAATTGTGCCTTAAATTGATCACCACCAGACTAAGGTGTCTCTTCTTTCTTCTTATAAACCCATTTACATCTAATATCTCTCTCGCCTTTGGGCAACTTCACGTGATCCCAAGTGCGATTCTTTTGAAGAGACTCATCTCTTCATTCATGACATCACTCCATCTGCTATTGTTAACATCATGTGTTGCTTCTTTAAAGTGGATGGCTCTTGGCTTGTGGCAACCAATGTATAAGCCATTTATGCCGTCAAATTTGTATCGCACCACTGGCTCCTTAGTTCTCTTTCCCCTTCCAAGCTAAAGCTCTTCCTCTTGTGGAGTAGGTTCAACAATTTCCTCATGGTCAACATTCTCCTCCACTCTTTCACTGGGATTTGTTGACACATTTTTTGGAGTTCTCTACTCCACTTCAACCTTATCACCATTGTTGCGATTTTCCTTTCTGGCACTCTTCTTAATGAGCTTCAACATGCAAGACTCATCAAACTTAACATCATCATCCGAGCCTTATCCCAACTAATTGGGTTCAGCTACACGGATCATGTTCCGCCATTTTGCTCTATCAAGGGCCATGCCCTCAATCACAACATAAGTCACCATATCAAACTTAACACCATAGTTGATAATAACTTAAGCAACTTAGGATCTGCACCCTAGCTATAGCCTTTAACTCCATCAACATAAGGAAAATACACTTCTTTGATCTCAGACTCAAAATATCATCCTTCACATAAACACGAGCAGGACAACCAAAAATCCTTAAACAGGAATAATGAGCAGGTTTACCTGACCATACCTCCTGTGGTGTTTACATGCTATTGCCATAGATTGTGACTTGTAGATGAGGTAACACGCCATACTGACTGCCTCTGCCCAAAAGTCCTTTGACAAACCAGTGTCAAAATGTTGTAGTCCTTCTCTAGATGTGTCTTGTTCATGTGCTTAGCAACTCCATTATGTTGCGGCGTCTTTGAAGTGGTATAGTGATGATTAATTCATGTTCTTCTAAAATTTATAACCTTTGCTGAAGTGTACTCTCCACCATTATCATTCTCAAGTGCTTGACCTTCTTCACAGTCTGTCCTTCAACCTTAGCTTTCCAATGCTTATATATGTCAAATATGTCTGCCTTCTACTTTAATGTTTAAAATCCATACATTCTTTGAGAAATCATCTATGACTGGAAAAAAACTATAGAGATCATCTTTTGAGACAACCGATGCAAGACGCCATACATCTGAATAAAAATACTCAAGAAATTTTGTCTCGATGTAAGTCCAACTTGCACTTCTTGTCTCGATGTAAGCCCAACTTACAAGATTTCTACTCAACCCTATTCTTGTCATTTGGATTTGGGAATGATCCATATTTCCATCTTGGATCAACTTGTTTACTAGAAATATAAGAAGACATCTTCAACTACTCAAATCCTGAAAAACAAAATGAAAACTTTATTAAAAAAGTCACTATTTCCAAGTATCAATAAGACAAGAAGAAATACTTACAAATTTAAAAATAAAAAAGTATTGATGCAAAACTATATAGTTTACTATTTACTTATTTTGTATTTAGTGATTTACAAAAGGAAAAAGTTTGAAGGATGCAACCTTATAATGTAGAACTACGGATGCATCTCAAGAATCTATTGGAAAAGGTAGTTTTAATGTTGAAAACCCTTTGATTTGATCATCTCGACATCGAGATGTATGACCATGAAAAATAAAAAGATTTCAAGTCTCAAAAATAGTGCATTTTACAACATATTATCTACACCGTCCATTTTAAAGATTTTCATATGTTTATAGATCTACTAGATTTTTAACCATTTTTTT